TAAAAAAAAAAAAAAAATGAATATCACTTGGGGTTGGTATTGTTGTAATTAGGCTAAATTTTAGAGATAGTTTATGCAGTTAATCCCCAAAAGGAATGACAAAAAAAGCACTTCAAACTTCAAAGTAAAGTAAATGTGTGGTAGCTGGTAAGTGGTAAACCCCAATAAGCAATAAATGGAAGTAAAACAATCAAAACCAAACTTTACATACATTACTATGAAGCAAGTGCAGAAAAAGGCTCATATCAATCTCTAAACCTCCTCAAAATGAAGTAGTAAACCAACATACAAACCATAAAACAACCCAGAAAGAACAAACAAAGACCCAAACAGAACATTCTTTTCTACATAAACTCATATGTTCTCTTCATACTCTATATTCATGTGCTCTTGATGCTCCATATCCACTGTAAGCATTACCTCCATTAGCCATTTTCTGAGAGCTGCTCGATTTTTTCCTCTTTAAAACTACACACCACGTGTAGGCCTCCAAAATTGCAGCAACAAAAGCCAGACCTATTAGGATCCCGACGTAGGCTCTTTTCCACTTCTCAGCCGGATTCAGAATGTCAAAACCTTTGAAAATGTTAATAATGCTGAGGATTATGACCGAGTAGCCGATCGTGTGGTGGTATACATTCCAGTAGATTCTGTGTTTGTGCTCCTTTTTCGGCCTCAACAGCAGTGCAGTCACCTGTGCCCCATATGCAGAACCTTTTTATTATGATTTTCATCGACTTCCATAACAGTATAACTATGAAAAAGTGAAAAGAGTAAGCCTCTTTATTTTTTCATTGATGAACCTGATATGAATCAGATACTGTGGACAATAGGAATTGGAAGTGTACATTATATTACCTGTAGGGTTCCAAGGCAAAAGATCACGATGCCGATAATCCTGTGGGCCGTGTATGTGACTCCGGAAGATTGGCTTCCCAACCGGAGGCCCGTGGCCCAGCCCGCAACCCCAATGATGTAGGCCGAGGTTTGGCAGGTTGCGTGAAGATAGAACCAAGCGGGATCGGCTGAATGGAATACTTTTAGGTACCTTGCAAAAATAGCTCCAATTGGCAATAGGAGACCCCAGCTTATTGCATTCAGCACTCCATGAATCTGCACATTCATTACATCAATTCAAGAAAAATAATGAATAAA